TGTTTTATACATTTACATTGCTTTCCTTTGGAAGGGATCTTTTAAATGTATTTGTGTACAAACTAAAAGCAGAGAGGTCAACAGCATGCCCAGTGTCCTGAGTGGAGTGACGATTTCATGTGTGTGGCAGCCTGTGTGGCCACGGGGCATCTTTTCTGTGGAGGTGACATCCGCCCCCGTGTGTCTCACACTGCAGGACCAATTCTGTTCCCTGTTGGTATGTGGAGTGGGTGAGAGCAGTTTGCAAAGCAGGGAGAGAAAAGGCGCGAGAAATAGTTCTGGCCTAGATGTTACGAGACCGCTCAGAGCCACGCCGCCTCACTCCGGGTTTCTCTGACAGCAGTGAGGGCCATCTTCATTCTCTTTCCAGCACATCTGTACTTAATGCAGTTATTGGAAAAGCCTTTCTTAAATAACATAGGAATCATCACGGTTCTAGATCCGTGGCTCCCAGTCACTTTTCGTTTTAAATCTGAAGCTCTCTGCAGGACTACAAGGACAACTAGTGGTCACCGGCTTCTGGACTCATCCTCCCCGGCCTCTTAGTACCACTGCTGTTCGCCTAAATTCTTGGGGTGCCTTTGTTTTTGGATTTTAGTGACTACCTGCCACTCCTCCCTCTTCTCCCCTGCCCCGTGTTGGCTGCATTTCATACGTGCTGACGAGGTGAACATCTTTAGTGAAGCCTCGTTGGATTCCAGAATGGGGGGCTTCGAGAGGACATTGGCACTGCCTTTAAGAGTGCTTTGCCAGTTTCTGTCAAAATCTTAAATGTACCAGCCCTTTGGCAGAATTCCACCCATGGGGGGTTTATGCTACAGAAATACAGGTGGGGCAAAAGTGAGTTTACCGTTGTGAGTTTGTTCTGCTATTATTGCTTATTACTGTTTTCCACATGAGCAAGAAGAGTTTATTCTTGTATTGCTTATTATTATGTCATTTTTTATACACACAACTGGGAATCTGCTTTTGCCCCATGAAGATGCACGCACTAGGGTGTTCCTTGCAGTGCTGTGTGAAGGAGGAAATGGCCGGAAACAATGTACGTGTCCATCCCTGGGGGCTGGACAGGTAAGTCCCAGCACTGACAATGCGGTCCTGTGCAGCATAAAACAAGAGAGTGGAGTGGATGTTTAAGTGCCGATGCAGAACGAGTGCCCCGGTACCCTGTTAAGGGACCCAGATACGATGCTGTGCACAGAGCTCGTGTCCTAGTTGTGGTTAAAGGACAGAGGCTTTGCATCTGCATTGACACTTGGTGTGAGCATGGAACCGCGGTTAGCAGCAGACTGCGCGGGGGGATCTTGAGACGGGGGCAGTCTTTCTTTGCGCTGCTTATCTTATTACAAATCTTCCGAACTCACACCATGAGAATATGTTTCCCTTTTAATTATTTTAAAGTGTCCTTGACATTTCATTCTACATTTTTTTCGAAGTCTCCTACTGCTGTGAGTACTGAATTTGTTTTGTTCTATGAAATGAAAACGCGAGCACTTGTGCTCTTGGCCTTTATACTGGCCCATGTAACCACCTGGTCTTACCCATCACACAGCGTCAGCAAGTAGGACACTCGGGCTCCTTCCAGTCCTGCCTTGTGCTGGAACCTGGAGCGCGGCCAAGGCAGTGGTCCACACTAGCCACTCAGGGAAGGACTTAGGACTGAGGTTTGTTAAGAGAAACACCACAGTAACTTCTGAAACAGCGGTGTGCATGCCCCTGCCCCCGAGCTGTTTCCGCACTTCTGTCGTGAGTCAGCCTCCCTTTTACCTTGGTCTCAACATAAAGAAGGTGAAAACCAGAACCCACCAATGGTTAAAAGCTTGGGGGTGAGAAGACGGAAAATAATACTGGCAAGGAACTTTGACAGGGTGAACCCACACTCTTCTGGTGTGGTTCTTTTGTACGGCAGTACAGGCTTCCCCCGCTATCCGAAAGCAGAGCTTTCCTGTGAAACCTTTCGTAAGCCGAAATATAGTGTAAAGTGAAGAAGCAACCGTGATCGGACACTTCTTGCTGATGGATGCACAGGAGGGTGGAGCCACACTCCGACGCAGGCCGCTCTCCTGTGGGCAAGGCCGAGAGGTGGGAAGGGCTGGGCGGGGCCTCACTCGCTGCCTGCTGGGCACCTGCGGCCTCTGCAGTGGCTCATGCAGAACAGGCACTGGGCACTGTTTGTACTTACTTTTTCCGTAAAAGGGAATCACCTTTTCAGATTTTTTGTTAGAGAAAACAGGTACTCACGTAGGTATTTTGTTACAATGAAGGGACATAAAGCGAACTTTGGACAAGCGGGGGCGGGGTGTACAGTTCATGGCCTTGTATATGTACAGTGGACAAGTGCAATAATACTTCGTGTGTGCAAACTAGGGTACAAGTGAGTGTGCACCAGTCTACACTCGTAAATAACCAAAGCTGGCAGTGACGTTTTACAAATGCGAGGCTGTGCTGAGTCGTTGTTTGTGTATGCACTGTGATGCTGAACGTATTCTTTCTGATGCTGACATGGCCCTCTTATTGTCTATTAAACTACTGATTTCTACTTTACTCTCCTCCAGATGAAAATAAGTACATACCAGGGAGTAAAAATAGCTCTGAAGGGGAAGGAGCTCAGGTTTGTTATGAGATAGAACTTTTATGTCTTTATTAAAGCTGCCAAGCATAGACATTATAGTCCCACTGTAAGTTATCTATAAGATGATCGTATTGAGTTAATACTTGGTACCTTTTCTGGATGTTCTCTCAGTTAAATTAATGCTTTATGTTCAAACATAAATTGAAGTGGAACAAGTCCCATTTTCAGCTATTCTCACTGAATTTTATTTTAGTTTTATTTTCAACTGTATTAAATAATTGAAAGCCTCTTGTGGTTAGGAGACTTTGGTGGAACCTACAAAGTCTTAACAACTGAAATGTAAAGTCTTAGTAAAATTTTTCTGACAGTTTTCACAGTCTGTTAGTTCTGTGTTGCTTATTTCACAGCGGTCAGTATCTAAATTGAAATGTGTATTCACTATAGTTGTAATGGCCTTTTTCAACTTTTTAAAACATCAGTTCATTTAGCTGCAAAGAGAAAGTAAGAAGAAATTGAAAGGGCTAATAGTAGGCATAGAGCACCTGAGCCTGCCCTGCTCCTTAACTGAAGTTTCACTAGAACGAGAGTCGGAGCACCGCCTGCAAGTGTGTGTGCGTGCGGCAAGCAGGGTCTGCTCACTGTTGGCCTGTTGTGAAGCTGTCCTCACCTTGGTGGGGGGTTTATAACAGGGCGAAGGCCCCCAGATGGAGGGCTTGTGCCCTACTTGATTTGGAGTCCTTGCTGTTAACGTGAAGGACCCTGCAGGGCACCCAGCGGGAGACCCGTGTGACAAGTGGAAGTCTGGGGTCCAGAAGAAACACACTGTTGGGGGGGTGGCGATGAGAGTGGTGATGATCTTCCAGCCTTGGCTTAGGTCCCCCACAGTCTGATTGTTACCTTCGGCTGGCAGTCGGACTGAGGAGCTACCCTTTTCAGTATCCTTGGGTTGCATGGGCTCACCCAACTCTTACAAGTTAAAATCCTGGACAACTTGGGTTTAATTCTCTCACAAAAGTGTACTGCTGACGGGATATTATGCATTACTGTTGGAGGTTGGAGATTCTGGTTGGTTGTGTGTGTGTGAGCGCAGGTCTGGTTAAAGGGAAGAAGGGCTGTTGGGAAATGCTGGCCTACCGGCCTGTTCTTACTGCAGAGCCCGCGTAGAGGCTGGTTGCCCCAGCCCTGGGCTGGTGTGCTTTGTAACACCAGCTATTGGGCCAAAGTTTCTTGGCTTAAGAAGCCATGTAATTTTCAGTGCATACCATGCGAGAAAGAGGTGGGGCAGCAGAAACTTTCTATAGGGTTTCAACAAGTAAACTTTAATTTCTTAAATAGGCATTATTTTTTTAAGTTATATACTGAATTAACAGGAGAAGTGGAACACGTATATCATATTTCTTTAATTCTAACACATTTAAACTGATAGGGAAAGGGAGAGAACTTTATTTTTAAGGGATATTTTCCATTTTTTCCTCTCTTCAATCAGAAACTGGTTCTCCAACTTTGAGTGCCAATTAAGACATGCTGCAATAAGTATTTCTCTTTCTGCCCTGCTGTTTGACTCTGGGTGTCAGTGGTGGTAGAATGTTCAGTAGCGGAGCATGCATGTTAAACAGCGAGAGATCTGGTGTATAGTAAGTTTGCTGTGGCGTGGGATTTGGTTTACATGATATCATTTCAGCACAATACCGAGACCACGCAGAACGCATGCTGGAAAAGTGTTCGGCAGGACGCCGGGAAGGCCATGCTAACGATGAGTTTCTGGCACCCCAGCCAGTTTTCTGGGCGTGTTTGGTTCCCCGCTGCTGCATCTCCCTTTGTTGTGGTTCTCTGGAAACCAGGCCACGTGAACGCATGGACTGCATACATTGCGTGCATTGCTTTTGTACGAACCCCAGGAGACTGCGAGCCTAAGCATGATGTTGTTTTGTCAGTTATGGAGAAGGCATATTGAAAGTCAGTTGATAGGAAAGTTTTCATTAATTATTTCACCATTTTCAAGGTGACATTAAGGCAGTTCAGCCACAATCAGAATCAGACAGTACAGCCGAAATCAGAATTAAACAGTAAAAGGAGCCTTGAATTCTCTGTGGTTCAGAGGGAAGTTTGCTGCGGCCGACCTCCTTCCCATCTTTCACTCACGAGTCACCCTCCAGTAAAACCCAACTGTGGTCTTGGCTTTACATGGTCTCACAATAATTATATTTCTTAATTATAAACATGTTTGTGCTCTGGAGGATTCACTGCCTTTTTCGATTTTGTTTTTTTACTTTTGATAAAGTACTAAAAAACGATCGTTATAACAGCTTACGTCTACTTAAAGGTAGCAGGAGTTGGTAGTTGGCAGTAAACCTTTGCTTTGTTTTGGTTGCTGACGAAGCTTGTGACTCAGACCCTGATGAGGTGCTTTCTGTTTGTGTCTGTTTAGGACATGGCTCAGGAAGGCTACGGAACTCGGTCTCAACCTCCTATGGCTCCTGGGAAGCCTAACCACGAAGACTTGAACCTGATACAACAAGAAAGACCGTCAAGTTTACCAGTAAGACATTATTAACGTGCTGATTTGGAAATGTAATGAGTTAAAGGTTTTTAAAAAGAGCTGCTGTTTTTGTTTGTTCTACTTTCTGTTAAGGCTTAGGAGAGAAGTTTCTAGATTTCAGAAAAAATTTTGATTTTTTTTTTCTTTTAGGGTTTTATTCTTTAGGAGCTCTGCAGCCCTGGATAAGTTTATGCCCTTTGTAGGGTCTCTGAGTGCAGTTGGCAGGTCTGACTTCCTGGTGGGCTTTGTGGCGGTCGCACTGTGGCTGCAGTGCCCCTGCAGCTGGGGTGGCCCGCTGCTCTCTGGTGGTGACACAGACCCGAGGTGTCTGTGTGAGAGTCCCGTGTGAGGGAATACCCGCCAGGCAAAGGCCGTGATGATGGGACACCATCCAGTGGTAGTTTGAATTTCTTCTGGAACTTTATAATATGAGAAGTAGCCCAAAAGAAAGTATTTTAGTTTAAGATTGGAAAAAGAGTATAAGTATTCCCCCTCCCCTCCGCCCTGCAAATATTGTACAGTGGCTGAAATGCATATCACCTGGAGCACTGGTTATATGGTAGGGTACCATGTTGATGCCATGGTTCATCTGTGCTTAATTTGTTCTTTTAATAGGCAACCTCACTTAAACGAGGTGTTTCTTATAAACTACAAGAATACATCTGTGTGAAATTTTATTACTTTCTTGCTAAAATGTTCTGATTTGAAGAATTATTGTTATTACTTAATCTCCATTAAGACATTTTATTCAAGGTGGACATTCAGACTAACCATGATATTAAATATGTTTCCATTAAGCTTTATTATATTGCTCCTAAACGTTTGAGCACAGGCCTTTGTAGTGAACGTGGCACATGCCCTTTGCCGTCTCTACCACCCACACCCATCTGCAGCTCCCACGTAGCCTTAGAGGAGAAGGTAAGTGAAGGCTGCAGGGTGCCCAGTGGCTTTGAATCTGATGCACGTTTTTGAAAGCCTGATTTTACAGCTTTTATGCTTATGGTGGATGAAATGTTCATGGTCATGTTTTTAGTCACAGTGGAATATTTATTGTGTAGTTACTTGGTTCCTGAAGAAATGAAAAAGGGGATGGATTTAGTGTGTTAACGCTCTAAGCTTTTTTTCTTTAGCAGACAAATCACAGCTTTGGAGACTACGTAGAGAGAGAGAGAGTGTGTGTGTGCATGCGTGCGCACACTGTTGATAAGTGGAACATTTGTAGCATATTTGGAAGTTGGCTCATAGTTTTAGGAATTGAAGTTGACTCCTGGGAAGCAGATGGACAATGAATCCCACTTTTCTTCCACCAGATCGTTGGTGTTTTTAGAGAAGCCTGACTTGCGGGTTTGTCATTGGCTGGTGATTTGTACCGATAAACGGGTTGGTGGTTTTGTTGTCCGTTGACGCGGGTGTTCGTGTGCCGAGAATAGCGCGCAGTGTGCTGCTTCCCTCATCCCCCTGGAACTGGGCGTCCCTGGCGAGGCTGTGCTGCTCCTCCGGGCTCCGAGGCAGAGTGGGCACTTGGCACCCAGCTGAGGCTGCAGCGTGCGGGTCCCAGAGCATGGGCTGCAGAGGGCTGCTTGGGGCTGGCGCTTTTCAAGTTCAGTGCTGGTGAAGGGGCTAACGTGTTTTAGGAAGTGAGCCAGTATATTCACCAGTAGTTTAAGTTTTTCTGAATTATTCTATCTGCGTATATCATAAAATGGCTTGCTTTCTTCCTTAATCTTTCTTTATCTTGCCTGTTTCCCAAGAGGATTTAAGGTTGCTCATAATATAAATTTTCTTATGAAACCATTGAAAACATAAATGTCCTAATTGGTGTTTTCTTTCTGTAACAGAAAGAAATAAGTAACTCACAGACAAATAAGATGCTGACTGACTCAGTAACATTTTGCTAAATTTTTTTAGAGAGCAAAGTTTTCAGGTTTCACGGTGAGTGTATGGAAGTACCACACCAGTCTCTGAATGTGGTACTTCCATAAACTGTGTAGACTAGCAGTGCACCTCACACCTCTCCCCTCCCCCCATCTGTTACGATAAAAACTGGCTTTATTTAAGTGAATTTTAATGCCCCGTTTTTCTTTCAACAAGCTTTATTTGTGTAGAAAGTTTCTATATGAAGTCGACAAGGAGGTTTTTATTTATGTGGGTTCTACATCAGTATGTTGTACACAATTAAGGTAATTATAGTTTGGGGAAAGGTTTGTTGATATTCAGTATGGCTCTCATATCATCTATTTTTAGTGTTACACTTATTAAACATATTAGTTCTCTGACGTGGCTAAGTTGATACCACAGGCACTGTGAAAAACTACTTGTATGTTTGTTATCACATCTGAATTTCTCATGTAGATTTATACTGCTTTTTTTTAAGTGTCAGTGATATAAACTTTATCTTTTTGCTTATGTAAGAGAAAATTCATCGTATTTGTAATTGCTAGTCTTGTAGCTTGGAACTAAGGAAGTGGGGATCATATCTGTACTTTAAAAGAATGTCATCAAGTGACTCTAATGTTAACTAGTCAGTCTTATTATGTATTCGACTATAAGGAGGAGCCTTCCCGTGTAGTTAGAGCTTAACGGATTTGCTTACATTGACAGAGACCTTGCAGTACTTTTCCGTGCAGTCGGGGTTTTCTTCAGCATCCGTTGTCACACTGTTAACTTTCCAATACGAGCAGTCAGGACCTTTCCAGCATCTTCAAGCTAGACCCGTAATTTGATCCCTTAGCCATCCTCTCACCATTGTTTGAACTGGCATTTGTCTGTATTTGCATGTCATTTAATTCTGGGTGATCTTCAGCAGCTAACACAGTTATGTTCCCAGCCAACTTAGAGCTTCAAATCATCCACACGAAACCAATGACTGATAAATTAATACTTGTCCTCTGTTTGCCTTGGGGCCATGACCACTATTATTTGCTTTTCACTTAATGCTCTCAGACCTAATCTCAGAACAAATCTTCCTTAATAATGTCCACTTATTTCTGTACCTCTTAATCATACGGCTTTTTCCCTGTTGAGATACATCAGCTTACGTACCCTTTGTACAACCGTTATTAACAGCTCTCAGCACACACACAAGCACGTGACAGAAAAAATAGTTTGAAGAACTCTGCCTCCCTGGAATATTAGCACGTAAAATTTGAGCACACTCAATAGTTTTTTTCTCTAATATTGATATGAATTGAAGCCAGAATTGAAACAAAATGTATATAGTGGGAGGTCTAAAAAAATGGTGTAAACTTAACTCCCTTATTTAATGCACTTCCTGTTGAGTCTTTTTTGGTATTTTCACCTCTGTGCTGTTCACTGTTAACCCTCTCATGGTGATGATTTTCATGGCTGTCCTGGCCCTCATTAGACTAGGATCTTTTCAGAGTATTTGTTATGTTTTATTCAGTAGGTGTTTTCCAAAAAACTTTTGAATACAGTCTTCCTCCAGTTGTAGAATTTTCTTTCAGTTGCTTAAGGGGTCTCTCCCAAGGCCCTGAACGGCCATCAGGAGACCCCGCTCTTTCTGCGCGGTGGCACGGAAGGGCTGGTGCAGTCTGTGGTCTGCCCTGCAGGGCGGCTTCACCCTGGTGGGTGTTGTCTTCGTCGTGAGCAGCTTTTGAGCTTAGTGTGGTAACCTTAAGATGTAAGAGAAGAAGAAGTGGGCACTTTAGGATTATGGAGCTAAAAGGCATGTGAAAATACTTGTCCTTAGCAGTAATATATTTATTACTTTTAAAATGAATACATTGACAAACAGTAATCACAGTTTCAATAAATATAGTACAGATAGATATGTTGTTAATAAAATATTTATAAATAGGTATTAAGAATTAAACAAAAAAGTTTTGGCTTTTTATCTTCCTCATCTCAGCAAATAGTGCTTTCTCCACCAGGGCGCCTAAGAGCTGTTCAAGGCCCCTCCGTGTAGAAGCACCACTCCGCTCTCCCCTGCAGAAGAGGCCTGCCCCCGGCTGTGATTCACACGGGCCCATTATTCTGTTTACTGAAGAGATAGACTACGAGCAGGCAGGTTCTAATCGCCTCTGAAAGGACCCGCCCGCTCATTAAAGACCTCCTTGTGACCCTTTCCTGCTCCCGTAGGGAGTCTTTAAGGAGGGTGATGTGAAAAGGATTTTGCTCTTTCCCAGTTTAGTTAAAAAGCCCTTGCTGGCCTGTGGCACTTTTGTTGGGGTTGCAATCAGAAGGAAGTGCTGAGGTTTGGATAAAACACAGGTGCTTTGGCCCTTTGTGAAGGGAAGAGGCAGTGAGCTGGTGGGTCTTTGAAATAGAGGGCGTTACACGGGAGGGTGGAGGCCTAAAGGGGGTCGGTGGGAGGAAGCCCTTTGGAAGAGTGCCCTTTGGAGATTAGGTGTTAGCCCCAGAGCATGCGGCGATCTGCCTTAACTGAAAAAGAATCCTCTGTGTGTTTGTTCTTTTAGTCTTTAATGACATTTATGTTGAGTAGAGGTAAAAGGTCATGTGCTTTGGAAGCACATATGAATATTGATGAAATGTTTCTAGGGACATTTTAAATGTGTATATTTGATAATATAGTTCCTGTGAACAATGGAAAACTATTGGAAAAAGCACAGTGAAATGTTTTTAATTAGATTTTGCTCTTTGCTATGTTCTCAACCCAACTAGAAATACAAATCGCAAAGATGATTTTACCTTAGTGGTAGATTCTTTCAGAAGTTAAAATCTACCAGGAAAGAATAGATGTATGGCTGCTAAATGAACTCTTCACAGACTTTTTAACTTTGTATCTTGAACTTGATTTTAGTGGTTGTCAATTAAACAGTTAATGTAGCTGTCTTTCTTGATTGAGCCTTCTCAAATTATTCTGAACATTTAAAAATTTTAAGTTGATAATAGAGACATCTAACCTGTTGTCACCTTATCTTCGTGCTCAAGCATCGATAATCCCTGTGAGCAGCAGAAGACACAAGCTATTTATCGGTGCTCTCTGTGTTATCAGGATGGGTTGAGTTTTAGAGGAGGGG